TGGTGTTTTCTGGAATGAGAGAATAAATATGTATTATAGCATAATTTACAGCAACTCAAGAAATGCCTTGTTTCACTTACAGTGTTAGGTTCAGGCAAAAGTAGCTAAAAGAGCAATTAAACACACACACACACATATATAAAATACTTAATTACACACATTTGAGTAGATGTAATAAATTACTTTGATTCCTGTTTAAATGCAATTCATCCTGCCATATCTGCAGTGTCTTCAGACTTTGCCAGCAAATTAAAAGTTGAAGCTTAATCATTAAATTATTATCTTTGTGTTAGATTTATTTATAAATCACATTTAAACACTGCTTGTACCAATTAAATAAAATAAAAAGTAACACACACGTTCTCTATCACCGTCATTAATCAGCAAACAAACAAACAAACAAGCAGCAGCAGCTTCATCGACCAGACAGACTGACGTTACAGTTTCTCACTTGGAAACAGAACAATGTATTAAATTGTAGAGACTCACCTGCAACACGAGTTGGGAGTGAGACGAGTTCTATCAGCTGCTGAGCTCCTTCCTCCTCCTCGTGACTCCGACATGTTTACATTTATCAGCGTGGTTCTCCTGTGTCGTGTCGGCGATTTTCAAAGCGGCATGCTTCTCATTTTTTATCTTTGTGAAGAGCTCCCACACTTTGGAGGACTTGGGTCGAACAGTTTTTGCTGCGTTGGTCATTTGTAAAATTTACTTATTTTCCTTTGAAAACAGCCTCTGCTCTGTTTCCTCCTTGCTCTGTTCAACTCGCGCTGCAGAGGTTTTTTTTTTTTTTTCAAACTTTATTCAGTCAGTCAGCATTGACAATGAACTGCCCGTGAACAAAACGACTCTGCAGCACCGTGAAAGACGCATGATTGCACGACACAACGAATCGATAATGAAATTCGTTGCAAACGCTTTTAATCATCGATTTTTATCGATTTTATCGATTCGTTGTTGCAGCCCTACTTTGCTGCTCTGTCTGTCGTTGAAACTGCTGTGAGACTCTCTTGCATTTCTTCCGAACCATAATTATGGACTGTTTTGATCAGTTGGTCCCTCAACTCAATTTACAACATTTCTTCGAAGAGAAGACAGGCTTTAGGGGAGCCGATTTGCCCTGTTGGCACACACACAGCTGGATATCTCATCGACTGGATGACTTGATGATGTGTCTATCTCTGCTGCAATTTGTGGATTTTAAGGACACATATTTAATTGGATTTTCGATAACTGGTTTCTGCTTTTTTGGATTTGGCTGGTTGCTGGTTTTATTTACAATCAAGGAAGTCATCTGCAGCAAATTTGGACCCGATCATGCTGCTTGCCTTTATGATGGCTTGGTTCGTGACTCGAGTACCCGGACTCAAATGCTTTGGGCTGAATGGATCAGATCTTGGGGATTTTACTCAGTCACGTTCCATCGGTATGGCCATGTATTTTGGACATTTCGTAACTGAGTGGACCAACACAGACTCAAGTAGAAGTCATTAAGTTCTGCCTGTCCCCAAAACAACTGTGTGTTTATCGAAATTTGGTTCCCTTGGCTGGCCTTCAAGGCCATCTTATCTGAATTTGCCTGGAGAAAATGTGATCTGATGCTCACCACCCCCTCCCTGGGGAATTTCCAACTGATAACCAGATGAATCCAGCTGAATAAACTTTGTGTCATCATTTCGGGACTCTTGGATTCTCAGACGTTATTCTTGGCCATTCCTCGACATACCTTGAGAATGTTTATGGATCTCACCGGAGGACATTGACTGATTATCTTATCAGAACTCTTACAGTGACCTCGAGAGCATCTATAAGCATTGTTGACCGCTCTCGTCTCCGTTTGCAGAATGTCTACGTCACTATGTGCTGTTTGTGTGAGGTGTTTTTTTTTTTATATTAGAGGGTTTTTTTCTCAGGCAAGAAAAAAAAAGTCTGATATGAATTTTTTTTTTCGCCTCCAACTCCTACATGTGTCCAGTTAATCTCTGTTTTTGTCTGTCCAAACAGGTCTCATTTGTAAATGAGTCTCCGAGGCCCAATGTGATTTATCCGTTTAAATAAAGGTTGAATGAATGAATGACTACTAGAGGACAAATTGACCTCATTTCCTTAAATGAATTGTTAAAATTGAATAGTTTTCATTTGATACTATTTCTATTTTATCCTGATGCATGCTCAATAATCCAGGTAGAAAAATCCAAAAAAGTTCAATCTGGTCCTCTGGACATTCAAAAAAACAAAAGCAAAACAAAGCAAAAAAATCTAGAAACGTTTCGTCTCTCATCCAAGAGACTTCCTCAGTCTGAGGTGCTGTTTTCAGCTCAGTCTCTTAAATAGCACCTTCTTAGAGTGGATCAACCAGTTTGCTGCTGACAACCAAAACCAGCTGATCACATGCTCAAGAAGGACCATCAGCCTAACAATGGGTCATTAGCACACTGATGGCTGTTTACTACTCACAGAGGGCTGAGTGATACTAGCAATCACAGCATTGTAAGAGGGGGACAGTTGAACCCGGAGGCCTCCACCCCTGTTTAATGATGGATGATTTCTTTTCACAAAGATGGCCTCCTTTACTCCTCTCTCAAACCATCGTTCCTCTCTGTCCAGGATGTGAACATCTTCATCCTTGAAAGAGTGACCGCTGGCCTGGAGATGAGTGTAGACCGCAGAATCCTGGCCTGATGATGTTGATCTTCTGTGCTGGGCCATCCTTTTGGCCAGTGGCTGTTTAGTTTCCCCGACGTAAGACTGATCACAGCCCTCCTGACACTGAACAGCATACACAACATTACTCTGTTTGTGCCGGGGGACTGGATCTTTGGGATGAACCAGTCTTTGCTGTAATGTATTTTGGGGTTTAAAAGCCACTGGGACGTTATGTTTGGAAAATAAACGTCTCAGTTTTTCTGATACCCCCTCAACATACGGAATGACCACTGGTCTGGGTCTGGGTTCCTCCTTTTCACCTGATGGCTGACTGGAGTCCTGTTTGGGTTTCTTCTCTGCTTTCAGGAAGGCCCAGTTAGGATATCCACATTGCTCTAGAGCCTGTTTTGTGTAGGATTTCTCCTTCTGCCTGGCTCCTGAGCTAGTGGGGATGCTGTCTGCTCTGTGATACAGAGTCCTGATGACTCCTAACTTGTGCTCCAAAGGGTGATGGGAGTCAAACTGCAAATACTGGTCTGTGTGGGTGGGTTTGCGGTA